TAACCTTTTCTACCCACGATATCCTCATCATCCGCCTATAACACCACATTTCGAACGCTTCTAACCTTTTCTTTTCCGCCGCGCCCACCGTCCATTTTTCGCACCCGTACAATGCCGTGCTCCAAGCATATATCTTTAACAACTTTTTTCGAATTTCCAAAATTGTTCGCGAGCACAGAAGTGACTTCTTTTTATTAAAGGCGACACGACCCTGCGCTATCCTCTGCTTTATATCCCTACTACTCCTTCGATCCTGACTTATCTGACTTCCTAGGTATCTAAAATTTTAGTTTTACTTTTATTTATTATCATACAGTACTGGTCTGTCAGGACCGCTTCCATTTTATTTAAAGCTATCTCCTTGCTAGATGCTAATACTGCTATATCATCTGCAAATCTAAGCATACTAAAATTTTGCCCTTGCACATCTATCCCTACAGTTGTACTGTTTTTAATGATGTTGATGACGTCTTCGATCTATACATTAAAAAGTAGCGGTGACAGTGTGCATCCCTGTCTGACTCCCTTCCTAATATTTACTTCTCTACGTTGCATCCCCAGCTCTATAACTGCCTGTTGCTNAATCCCTACATTTTTAAGTATATTTAACATATTGTCCCATTTAACATTGTCAAAAGCTTTCTCTAAATCTACAAATCCTATGTACGCACTCTTTCCTTTTTCTATCGTTTTCTCTATTGTTACCCGTAAAGCTAGAATGGCTTCCTACGTTCCTCTATTTCTTCTAAACCCAAATCTTCCCCTAATAGTTCTTCCTCCCTTTTTCCCATCCTCCTCTGTACAAAAATCACCTAGAATCTTCCACGTACAGCGCCTCCTAACGTGATGGTAACAACAGTAAAAAAAAATTGCAGCTTTTGACTGCTGCTCCAATAAGAATGCATAAACCGCTCTAAAAGATTAGATGAGGCTACTGCTGGATAAGATAGGTTAGATTAGTAGCTTTTTCAATTTTCGATTTTTCATCTCCAACCCCCACGCCTTCCTCCTCCGCTCCTACTTAAAAACATTTGTTTGCGTTTAACAAAGTCATTTCCGCCCTCCCCCTCCGTTTTCCTTCCCCAGCCGACGTCCGAACATGTCAGTCATAATGTAAAATTTGCTGTTTTTTTACACGTTTTACAATTTGTCATGTCAAAATTTATCTTGACGTTTATTAAATACCTAATTTTGTTATACATGGGGTTATTGTTTTGAGTTAAGTACATATGCTTGTAAATTACCTTACCTGTACAATATAAAATTACATCGATATTTTCTTCCGTTCCGTCATTAAAAACAACGGAATTTTTAAATATTTCCTTAACTATCGGCTTGAGGTAAACGCTGTTGGGCAATTTTATTGGAATAACATTTCTATGACTTAAAAAGACCTGAAATTAGGTATTAATACGTACTTGGAATAAAAACGAAAACTAAAATTTCGTATAATCACACCTTCAAGGCAACTTTAGAAAGTAATCGAGAAATGTCGATTCCGGAAGGACCTCCGCCTATAATAAGGACCGTCTTACCCGTAAATATTTCGGCAATTCGGTAAGCATGACTATGTAATTTCATTCCTTCAAAACCTGATGCGCCCTTTATATCTGGAATGAAGGGTTTTTCGTAATGTCCATTGCAAACCATTACGACGTTGTAAATATGCTCTGTTTCGGTTTTACTTTTAACATCTAACAATTTCACTAACCACTTTCCATTCGTTAAACTTTCAATTTGCTTAACGTAACTGAAAAACTGATTCAATAATGACCATTTCAATTTTTACGTCGAAACAAATAATAAACTTAAATATCATACCTTAATATGTTCATCGATGTGAAAATGTTTAGTGAAATTTTCGAAATACTGTAAAACTTCTGCTTGATATAGATATGACCTTTTCAACTCTTCCGGATACGTGAAACCACCGAAGGTCATTAATTCTTTCGGCAAATTTGTGCTATAACAAAATTAATAAACAAGTTTGGAACAATCAGACATTCCATTTTTACCGTAAATTTTTATACATAGATGAGTGAACCGGCAAGTCGTTTTCATCCAGATCTGTTTTATCGGTGTAAACCCATGTACCGCCAACTGCTCCTGTTTGTTCATAAATGTCGTAATCAAAGCCTGCATCAGCACAATATTTGGCACTAATTAATCCTGAAGGACCGGCGCCGATAATTGCCACCTTCATTGTTTGATGCCCTACAATTTTATTTATTTTAATATCCATTGATGAGAAAATTGTTTTATGGATATACCTTGATTTGAACAGACAAAAATAAATACAATTATTGAACAAAAAGCCAAATGCATTTTATTGACGAATAAACAGTAGGAAGACACAGCAGATAGGTATGGAAAACACTTCAAAACACAGAAGAATTGAACAAATTAGTTTGACTGTTTTAAAGGCAATAATTATCTAAAACGTTGATGTTATTATTTATGTATGAATTGCGTATTCATTTGACGATAAAAGAAGTTTTAGTTTCTTAGTATTATTTAAATGTAATCCGCAAGGTTTCCTTCATACGTCTAAGCAACATAGATTACGAGGTAGACGTGTGTGGTGCATAAACTCGAGAAATTCACAAACAAAACTTTAATATCATTTAGCGTTTTTCAGGAAAAAGTCGAAGTCAGATTATAAAGCAACAAAAAGCGATAACAAACGAAAGAAAACGTCAATAAGCTTGTTAATTTCACTGATTTTACATACATATATAAGGTAGATGTAGGTGAGCTGTAATGATTTCAGTTTAACTTATCATAAGCACCAGGAGGTGGCGCCATAAATACTAAGAATCAATTTTAGGAATAAGTCTTAGGATTACGTAATACCTAACTACTACGTTATATTAGTTTATGAAGAAAAGAAAATCGAATAGCAGAATATGTTTTACGTTTTATAATTATTAAAAAGCTACAGTATAAGACTTACCTTTACAGCATAACTGAAGCAAAATTCTTACCTTTCTTTATGTTTTAAGATACCAATAGTTTGGACTTGGACAAAAATAATTATGGAACGAACAAATAGCAAGGTATTTGATCGACACGATGCCGAATATACAATTATTAGATAATTCTCCAAAAGTGCTCTAAACGTATTTTTATCGTACGCTAATCTTATTATAAATGAACGACATACAAATTTTTTTAATGTTTATTTATTACCGATTATATTACAATTATCTTGTAGTTTATCATTACCGCCAACATAGGTAGAGATTTCCATTTTACATTCCACTTACAGAAGATAATTGTACTTTAAAACATTGTAATTTGAATTGCGTATAGGCAGCGTACTTTAACAAATTTTATGAGCGCTGGTACACTGCTGCACAACCGTAATTAAAAAGCTGTGCACTTATTAGAAACGAATAAGAACAACGACAGTTTAACTTAACAATTTATTTACTATATACAAAGAGATATTACTACGATGTAAAACAGATTCTTAATAATCAAAATTTCTATGTACAAAGTATTTATTATCTTTACAACCTAGTGGGGTGACAAATTGTCGTTGGTAGCAGAGAGGGCGGCTTTTGATAGTAAACAAGTTTCAACAAGTTTTAACGATTTAACCAAAAGCATCAATGACCTGCCTTTAAGAAGATTAGGTACCAAAATTTCCGCGTACCCAAATAAATTTTATGGTGTACTAATAAAGCTGCGACCCTTGCAAACATGGACAAAATAACGTTGAACATTCCTTCTTGAATAACGAATTGAAATGAAATTTTTCTCAAACTAACTATGAAATAAACATAAAGGAATATATAAATAAACATAAATGAATCTAAACAAAC